GAGTGAAAGACGTAGGCATATACAAATGTCGCGTCACTCACGGTCAGAAGACTGACGAAGACAGCGTATTAGTAAGATTTAATGAATATGGGAATATCGGTTATTGATTGGCGACTCAAGGAAATGGGAGTCAAGACCCTTCTCTCGGCGGACATAGAGGAGCAAGTTTGGCCTTGAAACCAGCGCCAAGCCCTGCGTCGGACATTTTTCTTGACTCACACTCATACTTACAAGAAACAAGCCTCGTCGAAGTCGCCTCTTGTGAAAACTGCGTTCGAATATCCTGGCATTTTGGAGTGCCCTTTGTGACTAACAAATGTACGGTAAATTCGACTTTGCAGAAGGTTTGTAAATTTGAGTGAAACCCTCATAGTATACCATATTTTCTACAAGATAGCATTCCTAAATATATACCTACTAACAAAAGTAAGCTCTATGTGTGAGGGTTATGCCCATGTGGACTAAACGAAGCAGTGATGTGAATTCCAAAATCCCAAACCAAGAATTTCATGCGACCGTTTGGTTCAGCCGCAAGTGTGCTTTTGATATGTTTGGGAAAGTTCTTGCTTTTCGTGAATTTCTTGGAGTGTGTGTCGCCCCGATGAAAAGGCCTTATTTGTTGGACCTCTGCGCTTTGCCAACTCAGTCGGTCTTTCCACTGTTGCCAAATTAGTTTTACCTTCAGACTATAACTATTTCTCTTGTATCATGTTTTAAGTTCTTATTGCTAGATGGTGATGTATAAGGACAAGTTAGTGCATAGTTGCTGTAGAAGGCAGAAAACAAATATATGATGTGTTATGATACTGAGTGAATTTTATTTACATTTAAATATTAAATAAATATAAAGATATTTTAGAACCTGAAGTCTTGAAGAATTTAGTGAAAAGAAGGAACTTTAATGAAAGGATAAAAACAAACCTACAACTTATCATGATAATCATCATCACTATCATTATTGTTATAATGGTAATTACTATTAGGCATATTATCATTATCAGTATTATTATTATTATCGTTATCATTATGATTATGAATATTTCTATGATTATGGCCATTACTATGATTATCATTGTTGCTGCTACCATCATCAATATTGCTAATACTGATAACTATTTTATAACTGCAAGTGGTATGTCCGTCCATTTGTTCTGTCGTCCGGCCGCCCGTCCGTCCGTCTGTCTGTCTGTTCGTCCGTTCGTTCTTCCGTCCGTCAGTCCGTCTGTTCATTCGTCCGTCTGTTTGTCTATTTGTCCGCCCGTCCGTCCGTCTGTCTGCTCGTCCGTCCATTCGTCCGTACGTCCTTTTGCTGTCTGATCGTCCGTCCGCCCGGCCGTCTGTCAGCCTGGGGTGAAAATTGACAACACAGACATCAAAGGATCTCACACAAACACACATACATACACACACATACATCCTGTTCTAACTCGGTTACTATCATTATTGTTATTAGTATTATTATGATCATTATTATCATTATCATTATTTTTATTATCGTCATTATCATTATCATCATTATCCTTATCATCATCAGCCTTATTATCATAACTGTCATTTTTATTTTTATCATCATTACCATTGTTATTGTCTTATCATTATCAATAGTATTATTATTACCATTATCATATATATGCCAAAATTAATCATTAATTTTGACATTATGAAGGTGAGTCAAGTACACACTGCACTCTTGTAGTTAGACCATCAGTTTATGTACGTTTATTATTTACATAACTATCCCAGGGCAGAGGTTGAGAAGGAAGGTAGGAGAGGAAGGGTAAAGGAAGGGAGAGAGGAAAATGGACTTTCGAAATAGAAGGGGGGGGGGAGGAAGTGAGTGGAAGGTTGCTTAAAAAGGGAAGGGGAAAAGGGGGCTAGGAGAGAGAAAAAGGGGATGGGGAAGGGGAAACAGTGGATTAAAAGGGGAGAGGGGGATGGGGAGCGAGAGGGGATGGGAGAGGGAATGAGAGAAGGTAGGGACGGGGACTTTGGGAGCGAAGAAAGTAGGGGAAAGGGAAAGAAAGAGAAGTGAGCCTTCAGTGGCCTCAGTATCTCTTTTACTTGATGATAATTCTGAGACAATCATCAAGAGTCAATGAACCAGCATTTAATAATGGGAATTGTATCATAAATATTATACAGTTTAATCAACATCTTTTAACTTCATTCCATTCGTTACAGTGGAGACTCATAGTCTGACAGGATATTTATATTTGCTTCTAAATTACCCCCTGTGTGCAAGGCATGGCCGGGGTTTCCATCCACTGGCACGCAGGATTTGAACGCTGGTCAGCAAGATTGCTAGACGCGAACGCTACATTGCATCACACAGCACAGAATCGGATGTATAAGTTAAAGTGCTGTCCACTGATAAGTAAGAAAAGCAATAAAACTGTGACAAAGAACATCGTCTATAGATTGTTATTTTAATGTGTGTCATTTACTGCACGGGCAACAATGGGGTTCATACGTCATAAAATTGCAAATCATCCATTCTTGCTTATATATCCTTAGCTTTTTTTCTCCGTAAAATTTCCATACGTCTCGCTGGTTATTATTATTATTATTATTATTATTATTATTATTATTATTATTATTATTACTACTACTACTACTACTACTACTACTACTACTACTACTACTACTACTACTACTACTACTACTACTACTACTACTACAACTCCTACTACCAATAATAGTATTATTATTATTATGATGATGATGATGAGGAGGATGATGAATATCATTATTGTTATTATCATTATTATTATTAACATTGATATTATTATCATAACTATTATTGTCATCATTATTATTATTTTCACTTTATGAGCATTATAACTATTAATATTATTATTGTTACCAAAACTACATTATTATTATTATTATCTTTTTTATTTCTTATTACTACAACTATTATTATTATTTTTATCACTACTACTACTTTTACTCTTATTATTATTATTGTTATTGTTATTATTGTTATTTTTGTAACCATGCTTATGAACACAATCATATATATATATATATATATATATATATATATATATATATATATATATATATATATATATATATATATATATGAACACAAGCACACATACACACACACACTTATAACTTATATTTATCTATTTATATATTCATTCATATAAACACACACACACACACACACACACACACACACACACACACACACACACACACACACACACACACACGCACACGCACACACACATACACACACACACACACATATATCTATATCTGTATCTATCTGTCTATCTATCTATCTATCTGTCTGTCTATCTATCTACATATTTATCTATCTATCTTTCTCTATATATATGCACACATATATGAAGTAAATGTATTACACACACGCAGTGGCCGAAGGCCAACTACATTTTCAGAATAGCTTGTAGTCGAAGTAACAAACATTTAAAACAGAAAGAGAAAATTGACACCAAAAATAAATGAAAAGGAACCAAAACAAAACCAACAAAAAAACAAAACAAAACAAAACAAAACAAAACAAAAAAAGTGCAAAATATCAGCAAGGAGGACGAAAAGTATTTAAACGGAGGCCCAACGAATCTGAAAATCCTTGCGCCTCCCATAAGCCCCGAATGCGAGAAATGCAAAGCGAACGGTCAGCCCGCACAAAGACCGTAAACAGGACGAGTTCTGATATAAAGAAAACGAGTCCGACCACTTTTCCTCTCGCACGATAAGAGAGGAATCCCGGTGCTTGCCTTGTTCGGGCGCGCTGGAAGGGCCGGCGCGGGAATCTTTGTCTCCGGGAATACACGGGGAGGATAGCTTTTTCTTCTTTTAAATGGCGGTTGGCATCTCCGCTTTTGCTGTCATTATCAAAAATATTTCATATTGATGTATGTGTGTGTATATATTTTACATAAGTACACAAATTAACAGATAAATAAATAAATAAAAACATAAATAAATAAATAGATAAATATAAAGATGAATAATATATATGTATATATGTACACATATATATATATATATATATATATATATATATATATATATATATATATATATATATATATACATATATTTATATATATGTATATGTATATGTGTGTATACTGCTATTATTATTGTTGTTATCACTACTA